TTTCTAGTCTGTTCAAGTCATTTTGAATTTTGATCCTGTCCTCTGAGAGCATTTGCAGCTATACTCCAATGCTCAAACCAGTGCACCATTCTGGCTCTCAGTGGTACTGTTTGGAGTCACATATTTTTGTTAGTAAATAGCAGAAGTGGGCAAAATACACTCCAAGCCCCCACCTCTTGCTGCCCTCTACACACACTGGGGAAAAATTCATCACAAAATTAATTATTTTCCCCCTGTTCTTGGAAGCATCTAATATAAATGTTTTCTTTGTATAAAAAGCTCAGTTTCCATCCCAAATCCAACCCAACCCATTCCCATTAAAAAAAGAAAAGAAAAGAAAAAAGAAATGGAGTCACTCTCAGCTTTGTTTCCTTTTAGCCTGTCTGGAAATGCACTGTCCTAGTACTGTTCATACAGGGAGGGGAGCAATGGATTTAGCACCCAAGCCAACCCTAATAGATCACCCCAATATATAAAATTTAAGATTACATAGAAAGAAGCTTTTCAGAGACAGAAGCATTGTTATAAAGCTACACTGTTCCCATTTTTATGTCTGGTTAATCTCCGTTATTACTAGTTATCTTGGTTTTTTGACATCTACCCTAAAAATCAAAGCCATATTTTATACCTAGACACACAATGATATGTTAGGCAACTCCTATGGCAAGTAACAGATAGGGGCAAAGCAGATAGGCAAAAAACGGCAGTTTCAGGGTGGCGTGGGGGCATGGCATGCATATGATGCATGCCTTAACAATGCCTCCAAGCTGATGTCTTGCCTCCCTGCTGACCACATAGCGGGCAATGTCACAGCATTCTAGTGCTGCAGCATTTACATGCACTATGCCGCAGAAATGGTAAAAAGCCACTACTGTGGTAGAAAGGGCATCTTTTTTTCTGCCCCCAAAAGAAGTGGCATTGCCCCTTCTTTTGGGGCCAGAAAAATGCCAGATTGGGGCTGTGGCTTGTGGTTGCTGCGGCCCCAATCCAGCACTCAAAGGTGTGGCATAGAGCCAAATGTTTGGGTCCATTTGTTTCACCCCAGTTTCCTGTCTGACTCAATTTGATATTCTTCGAAAACTTTACTTTTATTTGAAAAGACAGGAGTGTATCCAGGATATGAATCGTCCCATAACCCTTGAAAAAGAAAAGAAAAGAGGAAAATGGAAGGTAAGCCAGTGTGACGTAGTGGTTTGAGTGTTGGATTGCGACTCTGGAGACCAAGATTCAATTCCCAGCTTGGCCATGAAACCCGCTGGGTGACCTTGGGTAACTCTTACTCTCTCAGCCTTAGGGGAAAGCAATGGCAAACCTGATCTAAACAAATCTTGCCATGAAGGCTTGCATTATGGTCCCCATACATCAGAAATGACTTGAAGGCACACAACACACACAACACATTCTTAATGACAGACTACCACTGAAAAACATGTTTGAAAGTTTCTCTAGTGAGTGAAATCAACCAGCCCAGAAGATATGCTGTTTGTCTGTGATATGGTTCAGGGTCATTTTACCCTACCCAATTATACCACAATGATTTCACTTTAACTACTATAGCAACATATTGTGGAAACAAGGACTTTGATGATGACTATTGCTCTCTGGCAAAGAATTCTATATACCCCTACCTAAACTGCAAGTTCCAGGATTCTTTAGGATACAGCCATGGCAGTTCCAATGGCATCATAGAGTTATAATTCAGTAGTATGAAAGTGATACTAGTCAGTTCCCCTTGTTCACTGGCATATATGGCATTTGAGGGCTTGGTGTAATTAGGAAAATGTAATTAGGTTGAATGGTACGGTGTTGTTGTGTGCCTTCAAGTAGTTTCTGACTTGCATGAAGGAATAGAGGGCACGCTTATAAAATTTTCAGATGACACCAAATTAGGAGGAGTAGTTAATATCCCAGAGGAGGGTATCAAAATTCAAAATAACTTTAATAGATTAGAAAGCTGGACCAAAACTAACAATGAATTTCAACGCAGAGAAATGTAAGGTACTACACTCAGGGAGAAAAAATGAAATGCAAAGGTATAAGATGGGAGAAACCTGGCTTAAGAACAGTCCCTGTGACAGGGATGTAGGAGTCCTCGTAGACCACAAGTTGAACATGAGTCAACAGTATGATTCAGCAGCTAAAAAGGCCAATGTGATTCTAGGCTGAATCAATAGAAGTATAGTGTCTAGATCAAGGGAAGTAATAGTGCCACTCTATTTAGCTTTGGCCAGGCCTCACCTGGAATACTGTGTCCAGTTCTGGGCCACAATTCAAAAAGGATGTTGACAAGCTGGAGTGTTTTTCCAGAGGAGGGTGACCAACATGGTGAAGAGTCTGAAAACTATGCCCTATGAGGAGCGACTGAGGGAACTGGGTATATTTAGCCTAATGAAGAGAAGGTTAAGAGATGATATGTTTAAATATTTGAAGGGATGTCATTTTGAAGGTGGAGCAAGCTTATTTTGTGTTGCTCCAAAGAATAGGACACTGAGCAATGGATGCAAGCTACAGGAAAAGAGATTCTACCTCATCATTAGGAAGAACTTCATGACAGTAAATGCTGTTTAACAGTGGAACACACTCCCTTTGTGGAGTCTCCTCCTTTGGAGGTTTTTAAACAGAGGCTGGATGGCCATCTGTCAGGGGTGTTTTGATTGTGTGTTCCTGCATGGCAGGGGGTTGGATTGTATAGCCTTTGTGGTCCTGTCCAACTCTATGATTCTATGACCCAGTATGTTTCCATGGCTGAGCTGGGATTCAAACTCTGGTCTCCAGAATCATAATCCAGTGCTTAAACCACTACACCACTCTGGCTGTCAATTAACAATACACAAAGAAAAGTTGTTCCCATTGCTCTACAACTCCAACTGGGCTGCATAACTTGTGACTTACCAAGCCATGTACAACACACAAGTAAGAATTTGGAGAAATTCCTGTTCTATCTATCTATCTATCTATCTATCTATCTTTGGATTATAGCTCCAAGAATCATTAGCCAGCACAGCCATTAAGATTTCTGGTAACTGCACTTCAAGTAGTAACTTCTTCAAGCTCTGACATAAACCATGCATGCCAGCTTGTTGCAACTGATAAACATCTTTGCTTTTTGTTGCCTGCCTGGGACTATCACACATCCAAAAGGTCACAGTAAATGGTTAGCTGGTTGCAGCTTGGGCAGGCTTTATCATGCTGTTGCAATATGGTTACTATACAGAAGGCAGGATAATAGTGTAGTGTTATATATATTCGAAGTGGCAATACTTTAGAGAATAATTTCTAAACAGTTATTTAATTAGAAGCAATCATTTTACTTTCCAGCTTTAAAAGGGCTTGACATTTAGCATGACCACAACTAAATCATTTTAACTTCTGCAGTTACAGAATAGAACTTTCTGAAAAGAGGATTATTTCTGCCTACTGTATTACAATGTAGCATGACGAGACATTGGGTGGAAAGGCTATTTTGTGTGCCATATGCTGTTACCTTAAAATCAATGCACCAATCACAGCTTCTGGGAAGCAGAGAGCTGCAGGCATGGTATGAAAAATCATTTGCATCAAACGGTATTTTTCTTCCAAATTTTAGCATATTTTACCTCAAAGTAGTGACACCATGAAAGCTGGATCTGTTTCATCTGCCAGTGTTCTATTGTGCAGCTATTGTCAGAAGCATTTTCAAGTTTAGAGGTTCAAAAGATGCTAGAGGTTCACATTATTTGGTCATAATGGCCCTAGAAGAGAAGACAAAAATATCTGGTGCCAGCTAGACCCCATGGAGATGTGCAAAAAGTATTAAAACCAAATGAACATTGTAGAGGTTGCTGCTTTTAAAAAAGAATCTCCCCAAACACCTAGACTGTAGAATAAAAGTATTTATATTTGTATGTTAATTCATAATGTTAAAGGTATATCACTGTTTCTTTTTGACAGAGCTGACAGTTTGGGTTTAGGTAGAAAGAAGAGGTCTATGTAGGACCATATGCTTTGTTCAGATTCACTCTCTTGCAAAAAGGGACTCAGCCTGGAAAAGATTCCACCTGACTAGATAAATCCATGATCCATCTCAGTATTGTGCAACATCCTATATTCAATTCCAGCCTTTTATTGCCTTTCCATATTCTGAAGTGTGTGTGAGGAAGGGTTGACATTATTATTCAGATGCATATGAGCAGAGGAACATCTAACTGTATGGCAAATATCTGGGCATTTCAATTTGTCTAGTAACAGAAATAATATGATGTCCAAACATTTGAACCCCATCTTTCTATGTCCCTGCAAAAGGATTGCATAGGGCTGTTGTTGTTGTTGTTAACTGTCCTTATGTCAACCCCAACTCATGATGACCCTATGGATGCCACATCTCCAAGACCCCCTGCCTTCCATTGCTCTGGATAGGTCCTGCAAATTCAGGCTCATGATCTCCCTGGTTGAATCTATCCATCTGACATGAGGTTTTCCTCCCTTTCTACTGCCCTCTACCTATCCTAGTATTATTGTCTTTTCTAATGAGTCATGTCTTCTCATGATGTGGCCAAAATATGACAGCCTGAATTTGATCATCTTGGCTTCCAGTGAGATTTCAGTCTTGATCTGTTCAAGGACTCCTTTGTTCGTGTTTCTGGCTCCTCAGTATTCTCAGCACTCTTCTGCAGCAATGTCTGAAATTAGTTGATTTTCTTCTTATCCACCTTTTTCACTGTCCAGCTTTCACAATCCATGCATGGGGATGGGGAATACAATGGCATGGACTATTATAACTTTACTGCTCAGTTGTATACCTTTACTCTTTAGAATCATGTCTAGTTCCTTCATTGCTAGTTCCTTCACAGAAATTCGTCTGATTTCTTGACTGCAGTCTCCATTTTGATCAGTGTTTGATCCAAGATATGGGGATTCTTTATTTCACTTTCCTCATTATCTAGGTTGAATTTATGTAGATCTTTTGTGGTTGAAACAATCTGGAGATTTTTTTCCTCAGGATTTGAAATTTTGATTCAGAGGCAATATTGAGTAGTGGCTCCCAAGTCACTTCCAGGTTTTGAATAGGCTTGAAGGAACTATCCATGGTGCTGAATTTATTTGGGGGGAGTAGTTGACCATGTTGGATAGCTCCTTTTAAGTCTCAATTAAAACCTGGAGTGGATTCACCATCCCACTAACACAGGATCCAGCAGCTGCCAGTGTTCAGATTCAAAGAAGTTTGCCACTCTATCCTGTTTTAATGTATTAATTCTGATATATTTTATGGAGTTTTGAGTATGGACTTCAGCTTAAAAAACATTTTGCTATCAGTGACAGAACAATTGGCTCAGAAAAGGGGACAAATGTGGCATAGTCCTTAGAGTATTGGAGTGCAACTTGGGAGGTTCAAGACCCCACCTAGCAATGAAAATCTGTGGGTTACAACAGGCCAACTACTCTTTTCTCAGCCTGACCCTATCGCAGAAGATTGGTGTGAAGATGTGGAGGTAGAGAACTATATATGTCACCTGGCATACATGGCTCTCCAAATGTCAGTGGGGAGGTAAATCTGTTACAGGTTTTAGACCAAACTTGAAATGAGTTATCCAAAGTACTGAATATTATCCCAAAAATAGTTTCAGAATCTTGGACAGCCCCATTGATATTGAAACTATCAGTCTGCAATGTCAACTAGAGCTCAATGGAGTAAAACTGGGTTATGTAAGCAACCAATAAATAAATAAATAAATAAATTTGTAACTCTGTTCTCAAATAGCCATTTTCCTTGGCAGATAGAATCAGTGCCACCCTGTGCTTCATTCATGCCCCCTGATGTGCCAAAATAACAGCTGTCTGAAGAAGAGCTTCCTTTCGTGGAGGAGGAAGTGGAGATATTTCAAAATCTTTTTCCTGACAGCAAATATTTTGGTCTGTCATTTTCATAATTTTATCAGTAACTGTAGTTGACCCATAGGGTACCCTATTTCACAGTCTTGGTTGTTATTTGATATTGGGATTCATAAAATTAGGAACAAAGGGTTTAATTTTAAACTTGGAAAATAATGCACTTGTTATCACACACCAAATGAGTTCTAGGGATTGTTGGCATCTTGGGAGCAATTTGGGGGAGTAATGGCATTTATAATAATCATCCTAAACATTGGGATAAATCCTTCCTGAAAATTTGGAGATCAAGGTTCAAAAACCTAGTCATTTGATAGGATGTCTGAGTCCCCGAAACTAATTGAAAAATCAGTTTAAATTTAAAAAATACTATTGATATTAAAACACAAGTGTGTGTTAAAATAACCCTATACTTGCTAAATGCTAGCCAGTAGAAAACAGAACAGATTTTAATCCCCACTCCCATCCCCAAAAAAGTTTGGATAGAATTTAGAAAGATATCCAGTTTGGACTTTTATAAATGTACATGACAAATATGTTCCAGAGCAACCAAGCACCATATTGAAAAGATCATAATTCTAATGAAGAAAAGAACTTAACATTTGGTTTTGTTTGTGGAATTTCATGCTTTCCAAATTTGTTTTTTTGCTTTGAACCATTTCAGTTCAAAGCCTCACAGTCCTAGCTGGATTTCACAAATGAAATGTTCAATGAAATTGCTTTTCTTCTTATTTTGTACAATGTCAGCTCTAATTTCCCTCCATAATACAAGAGATTGCTATCTAAATACGAGCACAGAGCAGCCAATAAAAATGGGCAAATAATATAGCTTCCCAGTGTCTTCTGAAGATCATTTCATTTTATTTTAGAAGTTCAGAACTTATTCAGAAAGGCCAAGCATATTGATTATGTGATAGCACTACATTTTAAAATACTGTCTGTGTATCTTTTATATAGTTTATTAGGAATGTGTGTGATTAGATTCCCTAGGGAGATAGAGATTTATTATAAAAAAGTCATTCATTTCTTTTAAACTCTTATCATTAAATGGGATCTCTTATGAACTGTATCATATCTAATTGCAAAGCAGAGAAGGGAATTCAAATGAGAGGATAATGAGGGTTCTTCTGTATTTTGATGTTTCTTCTTTTGATTCCAATTTCACATTAGAGCATTTCTTCTTATATCTCCAACCCGTAAATGAATTCAACAATTGAGTAGGCAGATTCAGGTGCAAAAGGTTCTCTACTGGCAGAATGGATTCTGCCAGCAGCTGGACCTATACTCAGAAATGATGTTGGCAAGGGCACTCACACATTGCCAGTTGGAAGCCTTAGTCCTGTATCTGCCAAATTCATAAGAGAGCTGGAACAATAGAAGCAGGTGTGACTCCACAAATTATTCTATCCTAGTCAGCCTGAGACCACTGTTTTAGTTGCTCTGCTGTTAAATCTCTAATTTGAGCACAACAGAAACTAAGCAAACTG